CAGATCAGACCAAGCAATGCACGTGCCATGGTTGATTTGACTGAGCTTTCTGTTGGAGCGGTAGAGGTCACGATTGGTATTGACGAGTTCAATTTCCTTTGCATTCAGAGCCCTTGTCTTTCTCAGGAACTGAATTAGAGCTATGACGAGGGTGGTAAGAGTGGTAGCGAAAACGAGAGAAGCCATCAAGATCAGATACACTGCTGGTGCATCGCAGTCATCGCTGGTTAAATATCCGAAACGACACACGCAGATGTGTTTGAAGTTTGCCTTGTTGACCAGGCATTCTCCATGTCCATTACAAGTGTTGTCTTTACATGGTCCCTCAGGAACACAGTGAGATGCGGCCTCTCCGACGGTTGTTAAGGACTGGTTGCATTTGATACACTGCTGTTCAAGAGATGGAGAATACTTTCCGATAGGGCATGGTTTACAATGGGATCTCTCGTCCCGTCCAAAACCGACAGGGCACAAGCTGGAGGTGTTGGGAAGGTAAATTTGGGATTTCGCGCCGGTTTGTAGTCCACTTCCGCCAATGACCATATTTCCAAGAACAAAGTGACCCAAGATTCTCATTTTGAAGAACGTATTCGATGTAGCCACCTCTTGGGAACGATTGCCTGTGGTTGTAATTAACGGCGCCGAATTGGTGCGCTTGCCATCGTCTCGAAGACCTCCAATCAGGATTAGGTCACCGTTTACAAAATATTGACAAGCTGTGCCTATAGCGGTTTGGTATCTCAGGAATTATCGGAATATCACGAACGGTTATTTCGACAGTTGAACGGATTTCAAGAAGTATTAGTTTGGAATCGGATGGCATCTTGCCTCCAAACAGCAACACTCCGTGATCAGTTGGTGTGACTGAGTGACCAAACTGGATAGGTAGATGTCCTTTCTGAACGTATCCTGTGAGATTATGCCATCGACCTTTGCACTGGTCTTCGTCTTCCATGATGAACATCCACAAATCTCCCAGGGTATTGCCCTTGAATTTATGGCCCCTTCCACCATGGATGACCATTGCAGATTTATTATACTTGAACGATACATGCTCTCTCCTTGGAGATGGAACCATCCCAGATGTGATGTTCGCCTCTACCCAAAAGTGTTCGTATATATTGAAGCACCACGGATTCGGATCCCTATTCCGATTAGGACAACCTCCATACAAGATGGCGGTCTTATTTGTTACCAGGGTAGCGGTGTGAAAAGAGCGATGAGCACACTCTGGTCCAGGTGACGGGTAAAAAAGCGTGTAGACGAGTCTAGTAGAGGATGGGTTCTTTCCCCGTTTGAAGCGTAATATCCATACAGGCATTATGAATCTAGGACTATCAAGAAAGTTATAAATAGCATTACTGTGTGCAAGCAACATGGCGGTACCTCCAAAGACTAGAACTTCTTGTGAATCCTTAGCTCGGGGTGGAACTAGGATGCCGGTTGGAATCTCGCTAGGGCTTAAACGGACACCAAGGAATGTATTGACAACGGTCATAACCTGTGTTTCCAGGAGATAAATTGATCTGCTTTTTCTTCCTTTGCATCTCGAATATATATTTGCCCAGACCACATATGCCCCAGATTCTGACACGAGGAAAAATGATTTCTTTCCTGAAATGATATTATAAAATAGAAATGTAAAAGGAAGATCTCTCTTAGGAAGCACACGATTTGCACAGCTGGCAGGGGAATCTTGAATATTGCAAACAATAATGTCCGAGAGACTCGTGATATCTCTTCGTCTCCATTTTGGATTAATAACCAAGGTTTTCTGCAAGGCAAGATACGATGCATCAAATGATGAATTGAGAAGATCCATTGGGCCTTTAAAGGTATTGTTCACCTCCATCCATGTCAGTGATAAGGTGTCGAATTTCCAAATATCCAAAGTAACGGTATCCGCAACTCCTTCAAGCATTTTCCACCCACCTACAAACAACAGAATTCCATGATCATCAACGAAAAGTCTGGCAAACTGGCGAGGTTGGGGCGTCACCATATCGCTTGGTTGAATAACCTGCCAATGACCGACATCATAGTCTTGAACACGGAGACGAGATAGAACATTGCTCGGGGTTTTGCAGTATTCACGCTCATCATTCAACCAAATACAACCTCCAAATGTATAGAGGAAGAACGACGAATTTGATGTGTTTGCTGCACATTTACTGAAGGCAGTTGGAAAAGCGACGAGAGACGACCCAATTTCACCCACCTGAGGACTCTCACTTCTTCCTTGTGCCTTGATAACTCTTGTTTTCCTGTTGCCATAAAGCAACACCAAGTTGCTACAATTGCCAGGGCCAAAGCCGTGTAGGAGGACTTGATGCTTGCACGGGGATACAGTCACACTTGGAAATGTTTTGAAGCAGCAGCATTTCTCACCCAGTGTCTCGTTCAAGTCAATCTCACGCTCAAACATCTGCCAGGTTTGACCTCCAGTGAAGCTTGTATCGAACACGGCAACGTTGAAATAGGGTGTCTCATGTTCGACTACCCTAAAGATAATCATAAGGTGTTGTGTGAACTTACTTCGAATATTCTCCCTGAACATGACCACCTCTTTGACGAGCACTTGGGACACATACCCGTACGTCACATGGCTTTCTCTTCCTATAGAGAATGCATCTTCAGGATGTCCTGTGACTTTTATAAATGGTCCGTTGCTGCTTCCATTAACATACCTAGCACGATCCAGCAATTGAAGTAAACAGAACACCCACAAGGTGGATGTTACAATCAGCCAGCACGAAGCCATTGCTGTCGACACAGACCCGCCTGCAACCAATTTCGGTTATGCAAAGTAATATTATGCGGAGAGTAGTCGTGGTTCAAGTAGTCAAGACAGAAACCACTTATGTACCGCCAACTTTTAAAGGTACTGCAAAGAAGATTATAGCGGAAATTTGTGATCTTCTCTGGCTTTCTGACAATGGCAATACACATTATACAGCTGTACTCAGTCTCGGGACCTCTAACTATTTCCAACTTGATAGGTATCATCAACTGAACTTAGAGTTACAAGTCGAACCAGTTATACTCCTATGCACGTCCAAGCTCTCGCAAAGATCGTACTTTGCCGCAGAACCGAAGGAATGTTGGCAGTCAGTAGTCAGAACAACAAGATCAATCAAGGCTTGTTTGCTGTTACTTCAAGGTTCATGCTCTCGCAATCATCAGGCAAAACTGTCAACACGGTCAGTGTCCTACTCACAACGCTGTCAGTATTCTAACACAAGAGCATATTTGGTTCGTGTGTCAGGATTCAAGAGACACGAGATGTTTCCACCTGCTTATGGACCACGTGTCGCCGAATGAGCATAATAATAATAATATTATTATGATTATGCTCATTCAGTATATTGTATGTATGTTTTTATTTGAATTCACCAGTACACACGGGCTACAAGCCCAATTACATGGAAGCGAATGTGATAATGAGATTAAATAAGAAAAAGGGTGGAGGAAGGAGGAGGACGGTAGCAAAGCAACAGGGAGGACAATTATATTATTTTAAGAGATTTTGTTTCTATATCCATACCCACCACATGCGGTGTGTCAATTGTTAAAATTGACACGCAGTAGCCAAACATTCTGCTTCTGTTCCTCAATTCGAATAACTGTGGATGAGACAAGTAATAGATGGCTCCCGCGTACAGGATGTACTTTATAATTATATGCATGAGGTGCGGGAGAACAATGAGGGCTGGGTTCCACCTGCCTCTGGTAGTGTCACAGGAAGCTTGAGCATTAAAACATCTTGCATAAAGTGGAGACCAATGTCTACTGAGATGACGGCTACACCATAGGTGAGTAATAGAGCATGGCTGGCGTCAAGCGAAGGTCCATGGCGCCAGTCCTGGTGGTGCCATTCAATATCTACTTACTAAGTTTTCCTTTTCAGCTCCATCGATCAAACTAATGAATATTTTTAAGAGATTGCAAAGATACTGCCAGAAATGGTGCATGATAATCACTTTGCTTGAATCTCTAGTTGCAGGTGAATCTCTTTCTGCCGTCTTCAGGAAAATAAAATTTCGATAATACACGATATGTTAATAATAGTTTGAGGGAGTTGCCAACAGGAAAAGTCTTAAGGTGGCAGACTGCCCAAAAATTCGCTGAAAAATCGAATTTGTAAATTCATATTGAGTGCTACGTCAGTTGAAAGAGCATGAATAGCTGCAAATTCTCTGAAAATTGTGTCCCGATCTGACCAGCCGTTCAAGATTTATGGCCGAAAACGTGCCCTTGCAAGGACAGATTTTTTTGTTACACGCTGTGTGTATTTTGTTGGCAGCACAGTATTTGAATGTGAGCAGACTGTGCGCAACTTGTCGTATCATGGAAATACGCGAAAGTGTGCAGAATTTTGCTCCAAGTCCAAAAATCACGTTAAAAAACACGTATTGGGCTGCCCGGCGGCGGGCAAACCCCGCCGCCGTGCAGCAGGACTTTTGCCAGCACCCTCGTGACGTTGCAGATTATGTGGCTTGATTATTGTAGTTGACGTTGATTTAGTGACTTTGGCAAGTTTGAGTCGTGTCAAGAAGTCAGGTAGGATTCAGTACTAGGCAGTAGTGAAACGTGAGTGGTAGTCTTTGCCGGTTTCTGAGGGTATCCTGGATTTGGTGTGCAGTGCTGTGGAAATGGCTTGCTGTGGAGGTCCCAGCACTGGATGTTGTATCAAAGGTACGACCTCGTAGTACTATGCCGGAAATTTGAGTTTTTCTGGCCTGGAAAGCCTGTCAATGAGGCGCAAGAACTTGTAAATCATGTCCTGAGGGCCAGCATAGTGGCAGGAGTGTGTGGTCAGAATGTCACTCAAATCCATTGAGAACACCAAAGTTACGGTCAATTGAATGCCATATGAAATTTATGGGTAGGCTGCCCCTTAAGAAACAATGGCTATCACCACCAAGACTAGAATCAGGGGCCCTCGAGTATGACCAGCAATGCTCTACCACGAAGCTTTGCACGTGACGCTGAACAAGTTTAAAAGAAAGTGACATACATGTATAGAGATTTCGTCGATACAATGACACTATGGCTGCAGAGTAGATCTACTGCTGACCACTACCGGTGAATTATGGGCCTTATGGCTGGCTTTGTGTACATTGAACATACAGTCAAGGAAAAGTTACACACATTTGCAAGCATAGAAATGGAATGTAGCTTAGCAATCTCATCAATGATCACTACTGGTTTCAACTACGTGTAGACATATAAGGCTTGAGAGGGGTATGAAAAGGCAATGTGCAGGTTTAACGAAATACATAATAATTATGGTACAGTATACAGCCTCGTCAATTAAATGTAGTGAAGTCATGATGCATTGTTAAAGGATGGAATTGGGACGTACATGTAATAAGATGACAGAAAAAACTGACACCAGATCAGGGCTGCACCCAATTGGAAAAGAGTCACTTTCATGCGCATTCTACAGAGATTTAGTGACCTTGCCTTTGTAGGCCGCCACAAAGAGATTTTTTGTTTTGTATTTGTTTTTAAGTATCATCGTACAATACCAATATGACGGTATACCCTTCCTTCACTTGAAAAATCCCGATATTGGATGAAGTTAAATAATACTATTGAAGAGTTTAAGATCAAGGTGATTAGGCACGTCAGTTACCATCCGTTTGTGACAGCAACTCTTGGACAATGCGCTGCATTGAAGGTCTCTCCTGTAGATCTGTCTTGATACACTGCTCAGCGATGTGACGATACCCATAGGGTATGTTTGGTGGAAAGATGGGCTTCGTACCACCTGCAATTTCATCCAGGATATCGTCAGAGTTGCTGAGGCGTGCATAAGGTATCTGTCGAGTTGAGAGTTCCCACATAACCACGCCAAAGCTGCAGCAAGAGAATACAACATGAGGAGATGATAGTGTTGAGCCTATCTGCGCTTCAACACCCAAATTCAGCGCTCCCTCTAGACATTCAGTATTTCAAAATAAGAAAAGTTTGAGGCCGACTCACACCCCAGTGTGACAACTAATTACTTTCCCATGTCTAACTCCAAGATGAAGTAAAGTTCGTTCTTGGGTAGATGTTCTGGAGGATATGGAACATCTACCCAAGCAAAAACTTCCTCGCTATGGAGTGGTGTTGTGAATGTGGGTCAAGAGCACAGTGTGGAGAAGTGGACGGTTAAGAGCATTTTCAAATGGCCGAGTTTGTCGCTACTTCTGGCTTACTAGTAATACCGGCCGAATTTTAAGAAACCGATTCATATCAGATGATAGTTCGACTGCCAATTCTGCAACTTCGACTTTTCCCTAAAGAAAATACTCAGGTTAGGGTCCAAGATTTGAGATGCAGTTTTCTTCTCATTTCTAAACCAAGACCACGATCTACTCATTCAAAGTCAGTTTGCAGTTTGTTTCATCATGCTCACCTGTAGACATCGTGTTTCTCCGTGTACAGATTCTTCTTGATGGATTCTGGTGATCGCCAGCGATCTGTACCAACTCCACACGTCATTCCAATACGTGACGTCATGCCCTCGGGTGCTCTTGTAGCTCTGTCGCCACCAATGTGATCCACATCAGATGTGACACTGGTAGCACCCAATAATGGAGTTGTTAGTTGATCAGGGTGTGTTGTATCTGATACTGTGCGTGTAGAATTATCTCTTGTCTGCATGAATCCTGCTTCCCTCTCTTTTGACCCAATACCGTCGAGATGAAGTATGGCAAGGAATCGTGCTGTTTCCATATCGCCGATCTTCACCACCCATTTGTCACTGACCAGCATGTTGGCTGACTTGATGTCACGGTGGATCATAGGTGGATCTCTGTTGTGTAGATACCTCACACCTCTTGCAGCATCCAGGGTGAATCGCAGTCGATCTGGGTGGTCAATCTTGTTGGACGGATCATGGAGAACATCGCAGAGAGAACCTCGCATCAAGTATTCCATCACAAGAAATGGACACCTGGATTGAGAATCCTTTCCAGCTCCCAGGAATAGAACTATATTTGGGTGGCTTAATGTTCGTAGAACTTCCGCTTCTTGAATGAAGGAGTCGTACGGCGATGCAGTTGATACAAACGGTGGAAGTCGCTTAACAACAACTGCCATATCTCCCAACTCAGCAAGTAACACTTTACAAAACCTTCCCTCGGAAAGTTGTCTCTGAATCTTCAGATCAGACCAGGCAATACACGTGCCATGGTTGATTTGACTGAGCTTTCTGTTGGAGCGGTAGAGGTCACGATTGGTATTGACGAGTTCAATTTCCTTTGCATTCAGAGCCCTTCTCTTTCTCAGGAACTGAATGAGAGCTATGACGAGGGTGGTAAGAGTGGTGGCAAAAACGAGAGAAGCCATCAAGATCAGGTACACTGCTGGTGCATTGCAGTCATCGCTGGGTAAATATCCGAAACGACACACACAGATGTGTTTGAAGTCTGCCTTGTTGACCAGGCATTCTCCATGTCTATTACAAGTGTTGTCTTTACATGGTCCCTCAGGAACACAGTGAGATGCGGCCTCTCCAACGGTTGTTAAGGACTGGTTGCATTTGATACACTGCTGTGCAAGAGATGGAGAATACTTTCCGATAGGGCATGGTTGACATTGTGACTTTTCGCCCCGTTCAAGGCCGATGGGGCACATATTATAGGTGTTGAGAAGGTGAAATTTGGATTCCCAACCAGCTGCTTGTTGTCCACTTCCACCAATTACCATATCACCAAGAACAAAGTGATTCCAGATTCTCATTTTGAAGAACTTATTCCACGTAGCCACCTCATGAGATCCATTGCTTCTGATGGCAATTAGTAGTGACCAAGTATTTGGAACGCCACGAATCGTTCCGCCAGTTTGACGACCTCCAATCATGATTAAGTCACTGTTTACAAATGACAGGCTGTGGCTATAGCGGTTTGGTATCTCAGGAAGTATCGGTATATCACGAATTGTTATTTCGGATGTTGGACGGATTTCAACAAGTACCAGTTTGGAATCGGATGGTATCTTGCCCCCAAACAGCAACACTCCATGATCAGTTGGTGTTACTGAATGACCATACTGGATTGGTAGATGTCCTTTCTTGACGTAGCCTGTGAGATCATACCAACCACCTTTGCACTGGTCTTCGTCTGTAATCACGAACATCCACAAATCTCCAAGGGCATGGCTGGAAATTTTGCCCCTTCCACCATGGATCACCATCGCAGATCTATTATGCCTGAACGATACATGCTGTCTTCGTGGGGATGGTACTTTGCCAGATGTGATGTTCGCCTCCACCCAAAAGTGTTCGTGTACATTGAAGCACCAAGGTTTTGGGTCAGCATCTTCTGCAATTTTAGATCGAAACCCTCCATACAAGATTGCAGTTTTGTTTGTTACCAAGGTCACGGTGTGAAAATGGCGACGAGGATGGCGTGGTCCAGGTGATGGGTAGAGAATGGTGTACATGTATTTGAATTGTGGAGAATAGAAGGACTCTGTTCGAGTACAGCGTAGTATCCACACAGGCATTGTGAACATAGGACTTTCAAGAAAGTTGCGAATAGTGTCACTCTCCGCAAGCAAGCTGATGCTAGAACCAAAGAATAGTGCTTCCTGCACACGTGTGTCCTGGGTCCGGGGTGCAAGGAGGATGCTGGCTGCAAGCCGTCTGGTGCTCATGCTGACACCAGCGAATGATAATGTAGTGGTCATCATCTGTGTTTCCAGGCGATATTTCGATTCCGTTATTCCATCGCATATCGAGTATACAATCACCCTCATCACAGATTTCCCGGAGTGTCCTACGATGAAGAATAATTTCTCTCCAGAAATGACATCAGTGAGCAGGAAGAGCGCAGGAAACTCCTTCGTCGAAGTCACGACGGCATTTTCACAGTTTGCAGGGGATTCTCGAACATTGCAAACTATCATCCCTACGCTAAAGAAATCATTGCCTTTTAATAGTCTCGTAGTTGGATTTATAATCAGGGTCTTCTGGAGAACAAGATAAGATGCATCAAACGATGAGTTGAGAAGATCCATGGGGCCTTGAAAGGTATTTTTCACCTCCATCCATGTCAGAGATAAGGTGTCGAATTTCCAAATATCCAAAGTGACCGTGTCCGTGAATCCTTCAAGCACTTTCCACCCACCTACAAACAACAGAATTGCATCATCATCAACAAAAAGCCTGGCAAACTGGCGAGGTTGGGGAGTCACCATATCGCTTGGTTTTATAGTCTGCCAATACCCAACATCAGGTTCTTGAACATTGAGACGAGATAGAACATTGCTTGAGGTATGACAATATTCATCGTTCCACCAAATACAACCTCCGAATGAATAGAGGAAGAATAAGGAATTTGATGCATTTTCAGGGCAAGTACTCAAGGCAACTGGAACGGCGACGAGAGACGACCCGGTTTCACCCACCCGAGGACTCTGAGTTCTTTTTTGTGCTCTGATAACTCTGGTTTGCCTGTTGCCATAAAGCAACACCAAGTTGCCACATTCGCCAGGCCCAAATCCGTGTAGGATCACCTGATTCTTGCATGGCGATACAGTCACACTTGGCAAAGCTTTGAAACAGCAGCACTCTTCTCCCAGTTCTTTGTTCAAGTCAATCTCACGCTCCAACACCTGCCAGGTTTGACCTCCAATGAAGCTCGTATCGAACACGGCAACGTTGCAATAGACCGTTTCTTGTTCGACTATCCTATAGATAATCATAAGATGTCGTGTGAACTTACTTCGAACATTCTCCCTGAACATGACCACCTTTCCAACGTGCAATTCGGACCATGAAGAAATAAGACCTTCACCAAGTAGCATACGGGGTATAGACCCAGGTTGTGTAGGATCTGCTTTGACTTCTACTAACGGTCCGTTTACATTTGCATTGACATACCTAGCACCACGATCCAGCGATTGCAATAAACAAAACACCCACAGGGTGGATGCTAGGATCAGTAGGCAAGAAGCCATTATCAAAGTCACGTTCTCTCCAGCAACCAATGTCGTTGAGCAAAAATTACTAGCACTCTTTGTTGAGAGAATTCACAGGATCCTCCGGTGTTGAGAGTGTTCACATATCAGCGAGGAACTACAGTAAAACTAACAACCACCCGTTGGGGCAATAGAAAGTGGTCTTTAGTGGCAGGTGGTCCTTAGTTAGAGGTTCGCACCGCACAACCATTGAATGTGAGACCGTCCGTGCCGGGTGAAGTGGTCTGTAGTACCAGGCTGGTCGCTAGTCACGGTGGTCTTTAGTTACAGGTTTTACTGTAGTACCAGGCTGGTCGCTAGTCACGGCGGTCTTTAGTTACAGGTTTTACTGTATAAACAAATCGTCTTGCTCTGAATCACATCTACATATACTATCTAGCCAATGAGATCATGGCTAACTAGAGCATCATGAACCACCTGGAGGATGACCAGCTAGTGTCACCTGGCAAGTTTGGTTTCCTCCAAGTACTGAAGTTCGGGGCAGCAGACCTGCTGACTCGCAGCTGAACGCCAGAGTGCACAGCTGCTGGTCATTTTACTGATTTAGGCGAGTCAGCAGGTCTGCTCGATCGATCGGGAGGAGTAGTCCGGGTGATAGCTGTAAAGTTACGTCATTGCTGGAGCTTTCGAAAAGTGTCACACTGACAGTGTACCCGGGAACAAGGTCGATCACTGACTGCAAATCTTGAAAGTACAATGTCATGTAGATCATGTGTACATGAGCTTGCGTGGACATGGACAGCGGGCACTGCATATTCGATATTCGCCGGCAAAAATCGTTTTGGACTACATAAAATAAACTTACACTAGTATTAGTAAGCTACATGTTCCTGTCCCAGCCATGGCCCATGGCATGAGCGCGTGTCGGTATCACCTGACCTCGTTATCACCTGACCTTGTTATTATTTTTGTCACTTTTGAAGTTTTGTCAGTTTAGGGTATGCCACGTTTCTATGCAGAATGAGCGAAATTGTGCCAGTTTAGCCCTATAAAGATCAGTTTATTCTTATTATTCTTTCATTCAACATCATAATTATGTCTCCACTGATGAGCTCAGGAGGAGCGAAACAGCTGTCTGGAGGGTCATTGTCAATATCAATCTATATACCGGAATTGTCCTCGCTGTGGTGATGGTGATGTGAGTGCAGAGTTTGGATCGGCCAAGAGCGCAATGTGGTGGTGTGGTGTATTGGATTCCATAATGCCCGGGTCGTCGCTACTTCTTCTCAAATTATAAAGTTACTTAGAAGAAATCACATGGAAACGATGTACGAAGCAACTATCCACGACTGTAACAAGATAATAAGCAGTCAGAAAGTGCGATAACAGGATATTTGCTTCATAACTCGTTTCCATGTGATTTCTTCTATTTTAAATAATTATAATTACTGGCTCAGTATCCGAGGTAAAATATGAGTACAAGTAATAGCATGATATAGCTATATATAGGTTTTGTTCACAAAGCCAATTGTGTGAACCGTTAAGTAAGAACCAAACCAAAAAGACAACCCAAATAATTATTCCTCAGGGTGTGCAGACTCCACTATAGCCGCTTAATGTTTCACACATTTATACACCACCACCCAAAACGGTCTCTCGGCAACGAATTCTTCCAAATAAAAAAATAAATTCTATCCAAATTTTCGGGCCAGGCCCATCTTCAGGATTATATATATAGATAGTGGTGCATAATTGTGAGAAACACGCAAAACTCTACCGTAGGTAAAACACTCAATTGAAGTGTAAAATTGAACACAAAGGCTTGACCAAAAATTCATTACCTAAATGACCTACCAGCATGCAAAGGCACCTCTCAGTGACCTCTGCCCGTGTCAGCACACCCGGCTGCACTATGCTGAAAAGGAAGAGAAAGAAGAACAGGTGCAAAGTTGAACTTTGACATGAAAATGCACCATTCCTTCTGTAGCTAGATATAGAAAAAAATGTTTCGTTTCAAAAGAATGAAGAAAGGGAGAAAAGAAAACGGAAGAACATATGCCAGCAGCATGCAACAAGCTGTACACATAGTATTATTATCTGCTGACGCTACGATGACACCGAAACGCATGAAAAGCGGATACTGCTGCAATGTGCCACACAAACAGCACCACTTTAGCTATCCTTCTTGGATCCTTCAGTTGCCTGCTGGACTTCCTTCACCATTCTAGGAGCAACTTTCTTTGCTAGTTTGAAGCAGATGTGCGGGCAGTACTGGCTAAGGTAGCCAGCCATCAGAAGAGGCTGTGGACATATCCAGGCCTAGGCACAGATGAAGACATAGAAATAGCATAGCATTCAGACTATTGAAAAGTGTACACGCACAGCAAGGCTCGCGTGCGGTGGATGGATGGGTGGATGGATGGTTGTGGGTAAATGTAGGGAGCTCAGTTCCGGTCACTGAAAAGCGAAAAGTGCAGTCACAGCTCGCCTGTACAAAGTGAATGGGCGCCTCGTGGCTGCAGTTCGAGATGCAGTTCGCGGCCCGAGTATCTTCTCCCGCGGCCTTTTCGGCCTTGTCGATGCTATTTTTAGGTAGCTGAGGTCATTACCTTTCCAATGGTGCCACACATGCCATGCTTCCAAAAATAATGCCTCCGCGCTTGGCGCGGGTGCACTTCGAAGTACTAATTTCGACCAGATCCGTACTCGGCTTCGCGAGGAACACCCGATTTTCGTGTTCAGCGGCCTCGAATTAGCCTAAACCAAGAGGATTCTACAACATTGAGGCTCGCGCTTTATCGCCGTAGAAGGAAAATGATCACAGAAACCAGCCCACGGCGATTTCCTGGTGGTAGACGAAAAAATCGAGTGAACTGCGCGCACACTGGTAGAAGCAGTGACCTGGTGACGGTGAAAACGTGTGACTTGTGCAAGTCGGCGCGCAGGGCATGCGTGCACACTGCATGCATGCACACATCCTGTATCGCCATGCATGCACCAGATAGTGCAGTGGTGGACGGAAACCACACGGCTCCCATACATACTTGCATTTACTTCTGTGACTACTTTCTCCCCCGTTTTCCGATCTTCAATCGACTATAACTCTAGATTGCCTTGGAATTTTGGGTTCAAATTTTCACAGGTTGTTTCTTGATTCTTCCCGGTTTAGAAAAACTAGCGTTTTATGCAAAACTCGCGAATTTGATTTTTCAATTGAAGTCCCTAGTAAATGGTCAAGCGAAAGGCTACAATGAACACACCAAATACTGTAAAAGCCATATAAAAAACGAAGTGCTAACTCTAACGAGTTAACGAGGAGAAATTTGTCGTTAAAATAGAAATCGTTATACAGAAATCGATACGTATACTGTCCCATTGAGCGTTGAGAATGAGTGAAAATCGTTACCATTGGTACACGTAAACTAGTCAATTTTGGGAAATCGTTATATATGCGCCTCGTTAGAATAATGGCTTTTACAGTATAGCAAGTTGTGCGTTGATCAAACACATGCATACACACAAGCACAGACACATACACACACACACAGACACACACAGACACATACACACACATACAGTATGGAAGCGCATAAAGAAAACCTAAAAATCGGAGTCGTGAAACTACAGCATTTCCGGAATTTTAAAAGAATGAGAGTGGGGAGCAGAAAGTACTAATAATGATACTTGGGGAATTGTGTGTTGCTCCCTACGTGGGAGCTTGCGCTATTCCTGCCGACTTGCATTCTCACTTGACTGACTCACGACTGCCATCCAGAGCAACGACGGCAGTCGTGCGTCAGTCAAGTGAGAATTCAAGTCGGCAGGAATAGCGCAAGCTCCCACGTAAGGAGCAACACACAATTCCCCAAGTATCGCCGAAGTCGCAACAACCTCTTCTTCATATTGTTGTCCCCGGCGCGGGCTTGTGAATTAGATGGTTTGGAGGCAACACTGTGAATGGCCAACGGTCCTCAGCGTTTTTTCAGCACCTCCATGAGCGACACTGACTCACGCTTCTATCTGGTGTTCACGAGGTCTTTGGCGCGCTGGAAACGGAGCGTCTCTGTAAGTTTGTACTTGTATCCCTGTTGATGTTTGTGCCTGGAGAGCACTATATAAGTGGTGCTCTTGGGGCACAATCTTCCTCAGCCTTCTCAAGCTCTATTGATGAGGGGTGAATTCCCCAAAACATTGTGTATTGAGCAGGGAGCCGTGCTTTCTTGCAGGTTTGTCCAGTGGAAGGTTCGATGGACTTCTCGTGTGCTCTGGATGGCAGTCGTGAGTCAGTCAAGTGAGAATTCAATTCGGCAGGAATAGCGTAAGCTCCCACGTAGGGAGAAACACACAATTTTTCAGTCAGAGTTCAAAATCCTGCAGCACGCTTCACGCAGCTAAATAAGTAGGAAAAGGCTCCGAGCGACACTGGTGAGCAACACTCAATCACAATACTATGACAAATGAAATCAATTTATAGAGAGTCGTTGGGTGGACACACCCATTCCCAAACGTACGTTTCGGCAAAATAGCCATCGTCAGGTACGAAATGAAACAATGATGCCATGCAGGCCAAAAAAGAGCAGTTTTATGCCAAAGTCCTACTGCCAAAACAGCATAATCTTGCGCTACAAAAATAATAGAATACATCAACTTCAGTGGCAGAGGTTTAAGTGAGACATTCAACGCCAGCACCAAAACATATCGGAGAACAAAATCCTACCGCCAAACACAGCATGATCTGGCGCCATAAGAATAACAGATACAGTGACTTGAGCGGCAAAGGTGTAGGTGAGATGTTCAACACCAGAACCAAAGCACATTGTCACATGGAGTCATTGTCACCTTCCTAACACCTGTATTTCACAGCTATGTGTTACACCTCGTATCTGCATACAGCAAGAGGCATGTCAGTGAGAGAAACTTCATAAGTGTAAGTGACTCGTATTCAATGATGACGGCTCTGTGCCTATTCCATTATAGTGAGTGTCCAATTTTTTTAACGTGTGAAAAGGCCTCTTTTACGGGCAAAGCAAAGCATAATCATCACCATGTATCAGTACAGTGAATAATTAAACCCAACACGAATGAAAAATAAGAAATTCAATTATTATCAAAAGTAACAGATGATCTCCAAATAATTATTTGTTTTTTTTCCTACTTCCTCCATATACAAAACTTCGTGACTTTTTTTAACGGCGTTTTTGAGCAAGAAACTGCTCAAGGAACCGCGCCAAAGGCTGTCATCGACAACCCACATTCATGTTGAGGTAGGTTTGGTTGATCTCGAACAGATTCTCCACGAAAGCCATGCGTGTGTGGACGTTGCCGACAGGAACTCACGAGTCAAATGACAAAAAAATAACACTTACTTGCTCAAAACTGACACCGTGACGAAGCAGTGGCGGATCCAGGACTTGGCCGAAGAGGGGGCCCAAGGTATCCGCCCCCCCCCCCCCCCCCCAAAAAAAACAAACAACAAAATTAATACAACAACAACAAAGTCCTGAAGTTGTGAAGAGCTGTTGTATTTAGGGTACGGCGGATTCTGCCGGCAGAAAAATTGGCAGAATTCGGTACTATTTCTGGTAAGTTTCATGCATGTTTGGTATGTGGATAAAAAATGGAGCAGAATTCGAGGAATTGCCCGCCATAAGGTTTGTATGGTTCTGCCAATTTCACTGCTTTTCGAGCAGAATATGCCACCTTTTCGAGCAGAATCCGCCGGTCCCTAGTTTTATTCCATTCTCACGACATTTTCAAACTGCACTGGAACATTTCCACTCGACAGCGGCCGCGACGGACCTTTGGACGGCTCTTCAACGCGAGCTCTCTTATCTACCGGTCCACTGAAGAACGACCTGATGTCAGACGCTTTCCTCTTCATCGCATATCTGAAGGTAACCCGTTGGCTACAAGCGAAGTAGAAAGCTAGAGAGCGTTTAGTTTCTGACAAGTGAAAAAGAAAAAAGGAAGGACGGAGTCGACAGCACCGTGCATCATACAGGACTTCAGCCCAACGCGATCGCTGCACTATGTACCAGGCCCTGCATTTTTGGCACGTTTTTCACATGTTTGAAGTGCGGCCGTGTCCTCACTCCTCAGGTCGCAGTGCGTACAGTAGTTGTACACAGCGCGCTGACTAGTACAGTGCTAGTGCGTGACCCCGGACACGTATAAAAGTACCCAGCACGCGTTACCCACTTGACACGCCAAGTCATTTCGAGCGCTCATTCTACAGTCTACTAGTACATGTACTGTAATCCTAGACCAAGGTCGAAATTTTCAAAGGGGGGGGCCCAGGCCCCCTGCCCCCCCCCCCCCCCCCCCCCCCTGGATCCGCCACTGACGAAGTGGAGCTCGCGGCTGGAACACGGAGTCACGCGGCACTCGCCGCCCTGAAACTGGCCAGGCTCGAACTTGCGGTGCGCGGCCCCATACGCAGCGTGAGAACATAAAAATCGGTTCCGCTCGCACGGCAAGATGAAACATTTCAGTCGTCGTGCAACCAGCGCAGACTCCGGATCGGAATGTCGACGACCTGGCTTTCTTCGCCTCTCTCCACTCCAGTCAGACGCCTCCGTTGTCGCATAGGGGAATCGCAGGGACCTCGTCGAAGCCATTGTAGAATGCTGGGAGGATTCTCCTGCCGAGAAAATGCGAAGGGTGTGGATGTGCTTGAGCGACTCGTTTCACGGCATAATGGAGGTCGCGGGTTGGAACGACTGAATATAGTCGACACCGATTCGTACACAGCTCTGGAAATGAAGAGTACGTAGCCAAAGTCCCGCGTCGGATCATCATTGCAGCTGAAAAGAATCTGAACGAAATGGGAGCGGAAGCAGCGACTGTTGGCGATGCAGAGTCAGCGTCGTCAGGTGACAATGACAGGAGCGACGAAGACTCTGAATAAACTCAATCTCATTCGTCTGAGTTGCATTTTTCTTTTTATATAGCTTGTAAACAGGTTAGACAATGCCACGAGTGTTATTCCAAGTCAAACGGAACAATTCCAGAGCTATGCGCAGCCTTCAAAAAAAGTCACGAAGTTTTTGTATACGGAGGAAGTACAATAGTTCCCATCCGGTGCTGGTGCTAACGTGGGGCCTGGTGTCGTGGATCTCGATGGCTTCACATAGTTGGTGGCGGGCTCTATTTGGTTCCCTGGCGACAATGGCAACTGCAGAGAATGCACTCTTACCACATACCAAATTGCAATCTGGGAGGAGGGGTGGGAGGTACGGAAATGGTCTCCCCATGGCTTGTCTCTTGTCTGCCTTCTCGCCTCACCATTATGTTCCTCAAGCCGTTTGTCAAGGAAGCGACCGATCTCGCCGACATACTGTTCTGGACATTCCTTGCACTTAATCTCATACACTACATTCTTCTGCATACAGACATTCTCTCCAGCTGACATGCGGGTCAAGCACGGACCCTTTGGTCGACCTCTTTTCCTTGGCTGTAGTGGGTTCCTGGCTTTGACGCACATTGGTCGAGTCAAGGCAGAACAACACAGTGTACGCTTCAAGCTACCGGTACGCTCATACACAAGTCTCACAGGGATGCTGTATTTGAATTCAATTTGTCATAATGTTATTATGATAAATTGATTCAGGAAAAAAAATCATCGTTTGGGTCATGAAATAACCATCGCCAAAAAGGAAGTGGGCATGGGTGGGATGGGGTTGAAAAAACTTTAAAATAGAGCAGGACTGCAAGAAATAAGTTATTCAATACGAATTATTTTCAGTGAAAAAAGAAGGATCAAAGGTTTTAAAGTTATCTGTTGTTTGTGTCCAACACTAACAAATTTAATTTAATCATTGGCTCTCAATCCGAGTCTTATCTGAAAAATTTCAATACGAATAAATTCCTTTTGCTCACAGAGCCATGGATAGAGTAAATGAATAACCATAGACAGTGGCCATTACTAGACACCCGTGTTGATGGGATCCATTTCAAGGCAAACAGCAGGCAGAGGAAGGCTTGCATTGCTAGTACATTTCTTGCGGACTTTCCTTCTAACCAGCTGACTTCTCATCAAGTCTGAGTGGACCGAAGCGTGACTGAAAAATCACAAGCTCAAACCTGATGAGGCTTGATTCCGCAAGCACTCGTGCATTTATACCAGAGCACAAGCAACCTGAAAAGACTAAAATTATTCGCTCGTGTAAGGGGCCGTCCAAGGTTACCAATAGTATTTTCAAAACGAAATGTTTTCGTTTGGGGGTGGGGGTGGGTGGGTTTTAGGAGTTTCATTTCCTGTTTGTTGGACTGCGTTTTACCTGCAGAAAGGGTGGGGGTTGAAAAATACTAAAACCTTTCGTTTCTCAAAAACAATCGGTGACCCCGGACGGCCTCTAAACAAAGTTGAACAATTTGATTAGTTTCTAGGAAGAACAAAGACTGTCATTGGCTCTCTCTCTCTCTCTCTCTCTCTCTCTCTCTCTCTCTCTCTCTCTCTCTCTCTCTCTCTCTCTCTCTCTCTCTCTCTCTCTCTCTCTCTCTCTCTCCTTGGCTCTCCATCTGAGTCCAGTAGATTAGTTGTCTGTCTTTATACTGGCCCTGGAGTGCCATAATTTCCCACGGCCTAAGACGAAATCCGCCACGGTCTTTACATGCTGATGATGCATTTCCAACTAAGAAGTTTATCTAAAACCTCGGTTTATACCTAGAATATTCTTACCTCTGGAAGACGATTGGACATTGCGACCAAGCTCAGCTCAGCACATCTGAAAGACAACATCAAGCAGAATTCACCATACACTTGCTACAGAGAGTGCAAGATAATCGAACTTACGATACCTCGATTTACTCCAGTTTTCAGCAGTATTCTCGGGAAGACGAAATTCTCGATTTGAGGTCCCATTTACATGTATATACCAAACAGACGGTCATCGTTGGGAACACAATGAGTGCTCTAATTTCTACGCTACAAAGTATGAAGTCTGAGGAAGGCCTGAGGTTTCCTGTAGCTTTACCCTGAAATAAGGAATTCGGGTGGACACATCCCTTCTCGTAGGGCTACAGATGTGAACTAGTTCCGTTATTTCACAACGTATCGGCACTTGGTCATCATCAGGTAATAGCAAAAATGAATTAAAATGGCCAACACGCTGTACAATAACGGAACTGGTTGGGATCTGCAGCGCTATGGGAATGGGTGTGTCCACCGGAACTCCTCGTCATAAAATATGAAGACTGAATATCCAGGTCTTACCGCTCGGGCTTCATGCCTCCTTGTATTAACTTGTCAGCCTGGCCATGCCTGGTCCCATCACCATTCAGGGCGTTAGAATCCACATTGGTAGCCACCGGGCCAGGGCAGATGTTGGTGACGGCAACGTTCGCCTCCAGCCCTTGTAGCTACACAGCATACACAACATGAAAGGCCAGAGTTTGCGATATTACAGCGAGTTGTGACGGCAATCATCTTAGAGACTGTTTCTCCCATTCCCGTCGGCTTCCGCTCTCATTTCGTCATAATCATTTACACTCACTCTGCCTACTCTGTATGGTGAACCCCAAATTAATTTATAGTAAAGAAAAGGACCAAGGAACTACAACTTAAAATAAAGTAACAATAACAACAACTACAAGTTCTGAGCCCAAACGAGAGAGCTTGGAAGCTCAGGGCCCTACGCTATGCTTTTTTGCCTTGATGACCTAGACAAAAAAAGCATAGGGATGTTATAAATTCTTTAAAAAATTCTAAAAATTCCTTTTTTTTAAAGACATAACCTGGGATTGGAACCCGCACTATCGCGCGCCCTGCATGCATCCCCCGATACACTTCGCATACATACTAATTCTTCCAAGTTGCTTCACGTTATGATCTTGCATTTGAAAGCCCTATTTGAATATGCATTGTGGCCAGCCGTCTTTGATGGTACGGTACGGTACGGGATAGGTACGGGACAGGTACGATCGAGGGTAATACGACACCGTCTACCGCCTTGATGACGGCAAAAAAAGCATAGGGATGTTATAAATTTTTTCAATTCTCCTATTTTTTTTCAGGCATATCCTGGGATTCGAACCCGCACTATCGCCCTACATGCATTCCCCCATACACTTCGCATTCATACCCATTCTTCCAAGTTGCTTCACGTTATGATCTTGTGTTTGAAAGCCCTATTTGAATATTGCGGCCAGCTGTACATTTTGTATGTGGCCAGCTGTGTTTGATGGTACGGTACGGGACAGATACGGGATAGCGCCAGGCGTGACACAAACACACAAACAAACAAACAAACACACAAATACCAAACGAGAGAGCTTGGAAGCTCAGGGCCCTGCGCTATGCTTTGTTGCCTAGCTCATCGTGCATGTTGTTTGAACTGATGGAAATGCTTTTTCCTTTGATTAGCTACATCATTGTATTGCAAAAACGTTTCAATGAGTTACTGAAGTAACGTCTTCTGCATAGCTATGGGACCGGCGCTGACTCTGCCGATCACGGGCGTTCTGGAGTCGACGGGATGTATGTCCTGACGTTTCCTGGGACCGGCGCTGACTGTGCCGATCACGGGCGTTCTTCTTCTTCTTCTTCTTATTATTATTATTATTATTATTATTATTATTATTATGAAGTCTGAAGAAAATGTTGAACGGCCTCTGCTGGGATGACGACTACACCATAGCTCAGTGGTTAGAGCATCGCTGGCTACAAGCGAAAGTCCCTGGTTCGAGTCCTGGTGGTGACAGTCAATTTTTTCTTCAGACTTTTCCCGTTTGTCTCTTTCCCTCAAACCAGTTAATATTATTATTATTATTAGTGCTGAAACGATTATATCGATTACTCGTTACTTACTCGATAAGAAATAGATCGAACGGTTATTTCGATTTTATCGGCTAAACGAGTAGAATGGTACTTACGCTCGGTACGGGATTTCCCCCCTTTTGGAGATCGCACAAAGCGTGCATGCACCGAAAGTGTTGCGAGTACGACACGAATATGTACATGACTGTACACTTGCAACATCGATTTACGTGTAAAGTACAAGCGCGACCTGAGAAACATCGACGCGATCACCGTTGCCGTCTTTTCAGCTGACTACTTTTCTTACATACAGCATGCAGGACGGGCAGGCTCGGTATGTGTCTACAGACTACACTAGCTGCAGGGGTTGGAGTTCCCGCCACGTGGGAGTAGTCTTGAGCTAAAGACAGTAAAGTGGTCTTCAGTTTCATGGTTTCCGTTCTGTCGATGGTTCCAGAACCAGTTTGCTCGACGACGAGCTAGGCCTGCCGTCTGGGCCTATTTTGAGCATAGACAGGAAAAGCAACTACAGTCAAATCTGCCGTTAGCGACCTCTGCTGTAGGCGACCATCTACCGTTAGCGACCGATTTTCCGTGCACCGACGGTTTCACATACAAACTGATCTGTCCAGAGCGACCATCTGCTGTGCGCGACCAGCGACCGCGATTTCATGCACGGTGGCTGCATTCAAATCTGCTGTAAGCGACCGCGACCCAGGTTCAGTCAGGTGCGAAACTGTACTTGCCAGTGCGCTGTCAACTGCAAAGTGTGAAAATGCGCTGTCTTGCAAGTGCGATCGACTGGCGCCTGGCCTGTACCATGTGTACTGAGGCTGTGCTGTAGCTCTCAAGTCCAGGCAGTGTCGATCTACTGCCGTGTCGCATACGCGTACTATACGGGTATGGTCGTCGTTGAATATCCAATAAAATTAATGATATTAAAAATCACATTATTCTCGTCGATTTGAGTACATGGAAGCATATATATGGTATGCCGGATTTACCATACATCTGCCGTAAGAGACCATCTGGCGTAAGCGACCGCTTTTTCTTGCACCAAGGGGCGGTCGCTTACGACAGATTTGACTGTAGTTACTTTTTGGTGCGCCTCAAGTCAGCTCATCCGTCGAAATCCGCCGATCTGCACCCCTGGGCGGTTTCTCTGACTTCATCGTCGGAGTCAGCGAAGTCACAGGCGAAAGGCACCATCAGCTCTTGGTTTGCAACCAGTGAGTTGCCTCTGTCTTGTCTGTATTCGTCTGGTCAGTCCGAACAGCTGACAGACTTGTTGCGGGATCATTGGATCTATGCGCCCGCTTTCCGTCGTTGGCGATGTAGGACTGGTATTTTTTTGAAATTCACAGAATGTACATGTACAAATAAATAAATAAATTCGACAGGTTCGCGTACCGGGCAGGTCAAGAACAAGGAGACGTACAACTCCCTGGTCAAGAACCACCTTTCCGCTTCCGTGGGACGCCACCACCCCATGATCAGGCGTCAGATGCGGCTCCTAAACGGTGGGGGAGGATAGATCAGATCCACCAACCATAGCCTAGGCCAAAGGCCTCAATCCCATTGCCGCATCCATGTATTACTCATGCCAGGCCACGAGTTCCCAAGTAACTGTGGGTCGCAGCACGGTTGGAAAAAATCCTTCCGCTTCCTAGCAGGCCTTGAACCTGGTACCTCTCGTTTCTCAATCATGGTCTTAGACCAACCAACTGTACCTGCCTCCACTGATGTACTGATGTAGTTACTGTAATAATCGTTTAGCCGATAAGCCGATCGTTATGGTATCAGCTAAGCCACTAAGGAAAAAACGTAATCGTTTCAGCACTAATTATTATTATACTGACAGCAACTAACATCCATTCTGATTGCATTTACTCGTCTCCCTACTTCGTATTTCTTTCCAGAAAATCTCCCCATACAGCAGGGAGTCGTTTACATAATATGACTCCCTGCTATACATCTACATGACTGTATATACGTTAATTATGATGCTATCGGCCTACATGCGATTCCCGGGCTGGTCGACAGGCGGCCCAGCCAGCCTGCTAGTGGGATCTCGGCCTCGCACACAAATCCACACAAAATGTTACTGCACTGAATGCATTCCCCCGATACACTTCGCATATATACTCATTCTCTTGATGGTACCGTACTCTTGATGGTACGGGACAGGTACGGGATAGCGCCAGGCGCGGCTAGGCATGTCGATGGCACAAACAAACAAAAATATTGTGGCCAGCTGTCTTTGCTGGTACGGTACGGTACGGGACAGATACGGGATAGAGCCAGGCGCGACACAAACAAACAAACAAACAAACACAAAACGAGAGAGCTTGGAAGCTCAGGGCCCTGCGCTATGCTTTTTTGCCTTGATGACCTAGACAAAAAAAAAGCATAGGAATGTTTTCTTTAAAAAAATCCTTTTTTTTAAACCTGGGATTCGAACCCGCACTATCGCGCGCCCTGCATGCAGCCCCCGATACACTTCGCATACATACTAATTCTTCCAAGTTGTTTCACATTGTGATCTTGCATTTGAAAGCCCTATTTCAATATGCATTGTGGCCAGCCATCTTTGATGGCACGGTACGGTAGGGAATAGGTACGGGACAGGTACGATCGAGGGTAATACGACACCGTCTAGCTGCCCGCAATATTCAAATAGGGCTTTCAAACGCAAGATTAACGTGAAGCAACTTGGAAGAATGGGTATGAATGCGAAGTGTATGGGGGAATGCATGTAGGGCGATAGTGCGGGTTCGAATCCCAGGATATGCCTGAAAAAAAAGGAGAATTGAAAAAATTATAACATCCTATGCTTTTTTGCCGTCAGATACGGATAGCGCCAGGCGTGACACAAACAAACAAACAAACAAACAAACACACAAACAAACAAATACCAAATTAAAGCTGTGTGGACCCTGGCTAGCGCCAGACGTTACTGAAGTAACGTCTTCTGCATAGCTACGGGAATTAAAGCTGTGTGGACCCTGGCTAGCGCCAGACGTTACTGAAGTAACGTCTTCTGCATAGCTACGGGAATTAATATTCATGTATCACGTACAGCTAGCCCATGTACTCTACACGCTATCCACTTTTAGAAACACACTTCACTTGCCATCCAACTGCACATCCTTATTCTAACTCTTACACCGTACTCCGAACACAGCAGGGAGTATAATACTACTCCCTACATTGCAGCGGTATTTTGAAATTATGAAGCTGGCCCACGACGAGGGTTTCCCATCAGATCTTAGTTAGTCCAGGAGAGAGCGTTTCATTTGTAGTGTCAAGTGAGCGAGTTTAAACTAGTAACCTTACTTTTACATGGCGTGGTCAGAACTGGTCTGGAGCATTGTTCGTAAGGCTCTTGTGACTCTATGCCCGTGCTGTTTGTCGGCGGCGTTGATAGCTCTCTACATGTATTTCCATTCGTCGGAAGGTGTTTTTGTTAGTCAGCATGAACTTAGCTTGATTAGCTTTTGCTCGCCAGGAGCAGGTACAGGGATTTTTATTCTTACTGTTACCCAAGGGCACCCATTGAGGTAAGACTGCAAGACAAGGATAAGTGTGGTAATTGGGCCGAAAAGGGATGTAGCCAGGCCTAATCGGGCCGAAAGGGACAAAGCCAGGCCTAATTGTACGAAAAAGGGACGAAGCCAGGCCTAATTGTGCGAAAAAGGGACGAAGCCAGGCCTAATCAGACCGAAAACGGACATAGCTAGGCCTAATCGGGCCGAAAACGAACATAGCCAGGCTTACTGTCTAAGTGGTTCCCCGACTGTCTAGACTCTGAATGCTTAGATGTACTTCCTCCGCGTCATTAAAATTGTCGATTCGCGCATCGCAATGTTTGTGTCGCGAATCGCAATGTTTGTGACTTGGCTCGTCTGAGTCAGACTTTCGGAATCGCTGTTTTCTGTGTTCGAACATTGGTGCGACCCTTCCTGCGCAATGTCTACTTGTTACTGAAGCCGTGGTGGTCTCGGACTCTGTCGGAGCCCTATTCCGCACCAAGCAAATTCTTCGCGATCCGCACTATTCCGCCCCAGAGCGCATATCGTTTTTCTGGAGTTCGTGCCGTCCCACATCGTTCGCGTGGGCATTTATCAAGACTGCAAGCTCGGGTATAAGAATCCTGGTATCTCTCCTGAATATGAAATGCTGAAGTGGACGATGGTAAGAACAAAGTGTTCACAAATTCCTAAAATGCGCTACTTGTGGCGCATGTTGCTGCGAAGGTAGCAGGTCTGAAAACACCAACAAAATCAGCGAAGCGCTTGCCAAGGAAAAAAGGTGCGGAACTGCTTACCCTAGCCTGCTGGAAGGTGACTACAGTGTACTTGAAGAATGCTAGCTTGCCTTCATCGCCTGCCACCTGGAGGCATGGATCGCTTGAAAACGAAGTATCTTGACCTGAATTTGAACGCGCATCTTGTTCAGTGTATTGTTGAGTGCTGAAGGGTCTGCCTCAAACTCTGATGAAGACATCGACCTAAGCTGCAAGTGCAGCGAAGCGGGAGACCACAAACTAAAGCTTGGTGCGTCGACAATGCTCTGCCTATTTCTAGCTGATTTCTTTGCCCTTCGAGTAGACAAAATAAATTCGAAAAATCGCTCTGGGAAGCGACAATTTTAATGACACGGAGGAAGTATCACCAGCCCACAGTTGTAAGAATGGACCCGGATGGAGAGCCAAGGATTAATTTATAGAAAATAAAAGGGTCAAGGAACTACAAGTTTCAGCTCGTGCTTATCTTGGTTGTGCTCGCCTTCCCCTCCTTATGTTATTTCTATAGCTTAGAACTTTCCAAGTTATCGCATGAGCTGACTGTTTAGTAACTGGTGGTGTTAGTGGACATTATAGCGTAACTTGTAGTTCCTTGGTCCTTTTTACTTGTCCACAATTGTAAGTAATTATTTTTGTGGAAATTGTTCGGAATCACATGAATGCCAGGTGTGCCCTACACCAGTTGGCCTAGAAACCAGTTGGTCTACGCCACTGAATCCTTACCTCCATGCGCAGTGCGTCCATGTAGCCAATGAGCGCAAACTTAGCGCCACAGTAGATGGTGCGTCCGGCACTGCCCACCTTTCCGGCAATGGACGAGACGTTAGCGATGTGACCCCCGCCACGTTGCACGAAATCTACACGCGGGAGAACACAAACACAAACACACACACACACACACACACACACACAATACCGTATTTTACGGAGTGTCAGCCACACCCAGACGTTTAGTCACGAAATAGACATCTACCCTTTTATCACCATTAGTTTCTCCATCATGGTCTAAGACGCACCACCGACTTATTGGGACGGAAATATTGGTGTTTAAAGTGCGGTATATACTCCGGAAAATACGGTAGTTGAGGCGAGGCAAACAAACAGCCAGCATTTTGCATACAACTGAGTTGCAGACACGAGCAAGCCTGAATGCTTCATGCCTGCAATGCATAACGCGAATGATCTTACTCGGGAACTGGCACGTGACGCCAATCCACTTCAGCTGCATACTCTGGTTTTCATGCGCTCTTGGTACTGACAGCCACCATGTCAGCACGTCGGAGCTAGTAAAGACATGATTTAAATATCAGCATGTGTTGCTTGGACATAGCACTGCCCTGTGAGGGCTCAACTTGGACAAGACAAAACAGTTTCACACACACACACACACACACACACGCACGCACACACACATACACACGCACACACACACACATACACACACACACACACACACCCGGTCCTGGTCCTGGTAGACACTGCCATGTAGGTCACGTGTTACACACACACACACACACACACACACACACACACACACACACACACACACACACACACACACACACACACACACACACACACACACACATACACACACCGACTCCATCGTGTGTGTATACCCGATAGCCAACTACGGTATCGACGCAAAGAGGGGAGGATCGAACGGCAATCACATCTTCACGAAACCATCGGCAGCATCTTACAGCAGCGCTACTCACGTGGAAGCAGCGCCTTGGTCAGTGTGATCTGCCCGAAGAAGTCCACTTCGAACAGGCGCCGCTGGGTGTCCAGTGTAAACTGCGAGTAGAGGCCCCTCTGTGCTACGCCAGCATTGTTAACCAGCATGTCCACATGACCGAACAGGCCGATAGCCTCAGACACGTACTTCTCCATCCCGTCGGTGTTCGCAACATCCATCACAAGCACCCTAGAACAAACACCACGCACATGGAGAGAAACCCACAATGGAGTAAACAAAGTGGAGCTCGACTTTTGACTGGGTTTTCCCCTTCCTCGACCACTGTCCTTCTGTCCTGATGATAACCAGTTCATTAACCTTTCTACACTGGTCAGAATACATGAAGAAAATCGCTGCAAGACCAGTTCGAAAACAATGCTGCAGTGTGAATACTAGTTGTGAGATTTCCACCACCATGTCAGTGCTACAGCCTACTTCAAAAGATTAGGATCTTGAGTTCGATCCCCAACTAGGCCCGATTGAGTGCTCCCATGTATGTAGTGTGCAATGCAGCTCCAAAAGAGTTAAACTGCTCCTTCCAAATCACGACTTCTCTATCCTCCCACTGCAAATCAACTGTAGGGTTGCATGGTGAAATGAATAGCAAGGGATCAGCAGCAGTAATTTGATTTCGTCAGGAACCTCTCCGCTGAAAATATAGACCAGCTCATGGCTGCCAAGATTGTCTTGAGTGAGAGGACTTCATACAGAGTATATCAACTTGTTTGGTAGGTGGAATTGAGAGTTATTCGCTGCTGAATCATGACAACCTCAAGACATCTGTGTTGTCGTCAGTACCAGCAAAAAGTCTAGCATTCACTATTTGCTCTTGGCAAATCAGCATTTTAGAAGTAGAAACTTTGGTATTGCTGTAATGATAAGTCCAAAGAGGGGAAGGTAGGCGGCATCAAGCCGAACACAAGCTACATTCCAAGTCACAGTGGATGTCAGTCTGGTGCTACCTTGTGCACGTCTGACTGTTAGAAACTTTGGTAGTAATATTTTTTTTAATGCACGGGTACGCGTACAGGGTGGGTCAAGAACCGCCTTCCGCTTCCGTAGGGCGCCACCACCCCATGATCAGGTGTCAGGCGAAGCAACGCACAATAGTAGCCAAAGATGAGATGTGCCATATTATGTAGCTTGTCCCTTCAGGAAAGTTCATCAAGTAAATACTAAATAGCTTACTTGGCATTATCTGGATGGTCCAGTGATTGTCGCACTGCTTCTAGCTTGCTCTCTGTGCGAGAGGACAATATCACCTTGGCGCCAATTCGAGACAGGGACCTGGCAATAGCCTCCCCAACTACATTCAACAGCAAGAAAAGCACAAAATCAGTCAAGCCTCATGCAAGCCTGTTACCACATCTTGACAACCGGTGGAACTACTCTACTCAAGTAAAAACAATGGATTACTTCAACAAATCACCATGCTGTGACAATGTTTATTGTATTAAAAATTGCTAACATGATTTAAGCTGTGGTAGTCCCACTGAACTGTATCTAATAATGTGTATGATTCATGATGTAATGTATGTTTGGTCTCAGTCATTGATAAGCCTTCAGTAAACTAGAAGCATAGCCATAGAGCATGTACTCTGTTCTTGCTGTACGCATTCTCCCCATACTCGGCATGCCCGGAGTAGTGCCATGTGTTGGACCAGTGACGTAGGTCTCATGTGATACTTGTTTTAGCTACATTGCACATATTAAGGTCGAGGAGATCAAGAGAGAGAGCCCGAGAATGGCGGCCAGATCCATATTGTCCTGATTACCTATTATCCAGAAACCTTTCCTTGTATTTATTCTTATTGCATGTATTGACTAATCGCTTTGCTGGATTGAACCGTGTTGGCTGGTGTGAACTGATTGATGAGTTGACTAAAACATTGGCGCAGTGAACAGGATTCCTTTCAGAAAATAAGTCACTCGTTGAAGTTTGTAGTTTTCACCACGCACGTGGGAAATGGCAGCAAAAGTAAAAGTCGGCACCCGCCTTGACCTGGACTACGAGCTGAGAAACGATCATTTCCTTACTTGGCGTAGTCAGTTGGAGATTGGCTTTGCACTCCACGAAGTGAAGGATCAGTCGAAGCAGTATTTGGCAGAAGCTGCCAATTTAGGCGAGTCAGCAAGCCACTATTTATGGCAGAGCTACCCGACAGTGCCAACTACTTCAACCAATCCCTACAACGACCTTATCAAATTGTTCCAAGAGTATTTCGGCTCGAAGCAGAGTGCAGCGTCCCGTTTGGCGGAATTGTTTGCAGTCGAACAACGTCCTGGGGAGACAGTACAGGCCTTTCGGCTGCGGGTGCAAAAGGACATGAGGGTTTGTAACCTGACCAGTAATCGTAGTGCCGAGGACCTACTGGGAGTTGTGGGAGTCCACCTGTTTGCACGGGGACTCGGCTCTGCCAGTGCCCGAAAGAGTGTCTTGGAGCACGATGCGCAGGACTTGAGCTCCGCCGCAGCCAAGGCGCAGGCAGTAGTATTAGCGGAGGACTGTGCTAACAACCCTCCAGTACTGGAGGTGAGCTATGCCGCTATCCATCAACGCCGACACACAACATTGCCAACATTAGGCTGTGGATATTGTGGGGAGAAGCACGTTCCAGGCAAGCCGCACTGGCCAGCGGTCCATATGTTCTGTGCCAAGTGTGGACGTAAGGGACACTTCTCGTCTGTGTGCCGTTCCGACTTTGGTCGAGCGGACCGCAGCGCCCAGACCCAGTTGCCGAACGCAGCATCAGCGCAAAAGAATCGGACCGCACCTGCCGTATCGTCGCTCCGAACTGGTGCAGCATCACCCGCCGTACAGTCCGCCCAGACACCAGAGTCCTATGAAACCTTCGGGGTGCAGGCAGAGAAGACCGGCTTCACGCTTCCTCTGAGGCAGGTAACATTGGACAGCCGACACACATTGTCGCTAAGAGTGGACTCTGCCAGCAGGGTTTCCATTATCCCTAAGTCGGCGCTCCCATCGGGGTACGTCTTGTCACTGCCGCCATGCCCACTTCAGCCAGTGGGGCTATCTTTGTAGTCAATGACACACAGTGCGCGGTGCCCGCGCTATTAGGAGAACAGGCGTCCATCCAGTTAGGTCTTCTGGCAATGTCGATTTCAGCCACTGATATTCCAGCTGGTGCTCATCGCCCAGCATCACTACCTCCTCATGCCTGGCACACCGTCGCTATTGACGCGTTGTATTACCAGCAGAGCGCTTTCCTAACTCTTCTGGATTTATACAGCCGATATCCTGCAGTTGTACGTTTACCAGTCGAGAAGACAAGTGACCTCATCGGGGCACTGGGCCAAATATTCACTCTGTTTGGCATGCCACGACACCTAATAGCCGACAACCGTTCACCGTTCTGCAGCGACGAATTCCGCAAACAGCTCGAGTCATGGGGAATCAGTCACGAGTGCACTGTCCCCAACACGCCGCAGCAGCATCCACTTGAACGTCTCCACCGGACATTGAAGCAACACATGGGACAATCTGGCGAGACACGAACAGAAGACGCACTTCGTGTGGCACTCCGAGCAGTTCGGTCAGCCGTCAACACGACTACCGGCAAACCTCCGGGTGATCTACTGCTGCGAGGAGGTTATCACACGCTGCCCGTACAGCTTCGGCCAGGCGATAATGTGGCTACAGATGACGATGATGACGAGGTACACGAGGAACTGCACAAACGCGGTGCTCAGCCATCTGCCATCGTTACCGCAGCCCCTAGTACGGTTCAACCAGCTTCTAGTCGTCCGCAGCGTAAGACTCAAACGCCAAGTCGCTATCGGTAGACCGCTGGTCTTTTTCTGAAAAGGGGGAAATGTGGTAGTCCCACTGAACTGTATCTAATAATGTGTCTGATTCATGATGTAATGTATGTTTGGTCTCAGTCATTGATAAGCCTTCAGTAAACTAGAAGCATAGCCAGGCCCATAGGACATGTACTCTGTTCTTGCTGTACGCATTCTCCCCATACTCGGCATGCCCGGAGTAGTGCCATGTGTTGGACCAGTGACGTAGGTCTCATGTGATACTTGTTTTAGCTACATTGTACATATTAAGGTCGAGGAGATCAAGAGAGAGAGAGAGAGAGCCCGAGAATGGTGGCCAGATCCATATTGTCCTGATTATTTATTATCCAGAACCCTTTCCTTGTATTTATTCTTATTGCATGTATTGACTAATCGCTTTGCTGGATTGAACCGTGTTGGCTGGTGTGAACTGATTGACGAGTTAACTAAAACAGCGACTGCAGATGATTTTTGATTTTTTTGGATTCACAGATCTAGTATAATTATTACGGATTTTCCACAAGGGATATGAAAAATAGAAAGAGGTGGCAAACAAGATGGTAGGTATTTCAAGTAATCGACACAGGTAGAGGAAACGTGGTTTCAAACTCAATGGCGATCCTCAGACAACTGATAGCCTTCTCGTTGTCTGAGGATTTCCATCTGGCATGAAACTGCTAGGTATAAATAACTAGATGCATAGTAATCTGTGGCTAGTGTAATATCATTATACAAGCATGTACTGTCGTCGACATGGAAATCCGGTGGAGGTCATGCGGCCCCAGGGCGCTGGCCATGCAGCCGTGAGCACGCATGCGATCAACCAGTGCACTGCATGCAACGTTCCGTACGCACTGAGGGCGCCGCGACCCCGGTCATTTGACCGGATTTCTATGTCCATGACATTAGCTTGGGGTCCTGTGAGCATTCTATGGAACCAGACGACTCCGCTATCTGTAGTCTGTACGCGTTCTAATTATGTAGACCATGATCGTAGGTATCAATGGCCACAACTATTTTCAACTTTCTTAACTCGTCCGAATGGAATCAGTAATTAAATGCTATTCTGGAAAGATTTTTCTCGGATACAAAATATTTGTGAACTCACTTCCCGACGATGCTCCAGTTACCCACACGACACGGTCGCGAAAGTACTCTCTTCTCAGCTTCTTGCGCATCAGGACAAGATCTCCATCCGAGAAAACCAGAAGAACGACTACAGCAATGGACGCTAGGAACACTGCAAGTCCAAGCAGTTGTATGAGAAACATAAACATCTTCAACTCCGTGGAATGCGTTCACACTAAAAGTTATGATGGGTACGGATTGAATCACGCCAAGTGAGATGAATGGTCCCTGCTAATGTTTGATAACGACGTCTAAGACTCTTGCTACAACTAGATCCGGAAAGCAAAGAAATAGAAGGAAGACAAAATCAAACCAGACACAACATAAAAGCAATCAAACCGGCTACAAGCTACAAGCTAGCTGTCGATATGGATTTAGGAATATTTTTTGAAAAGACCACGTCCACGTGTACAGTCCTGTACTGAGAGTAACTCCTGCGCGGTGGTAAAGCCTCCTTGGCGTCTTCGGATCGACATGGCGTGACGTCGGCTAGGTTTGTTGTTGTTTTTTATTTGACCTGGTTTGGCGTGAACACAACATGTCATTGTGCAGTCATGTACATGTATACCGGTACTATTTATTTATTTATTTATTTATTTCTGCACCTCGTGGCATGTCAAGACAGCCAATTGAATTGAGGAGAGGGTGAGACCAACCACGGAAGAAGAGAAAAAAAGAAAATGAAGAGCACGTACACAAAGTGGGAAGGGATTAGCAACTTAAAAAGCAATGGGATGCTCAGCGAGCTATGCAGCGGAAGTGGTGACTGTGACTTTGTTTACTGGGAGATACTGAAGTGCTGTCTGACGAGGGTACGGAATTTGGGCATATCTGGAGCTTGTCTAACACTGGGAGGCAGTTGGAGCCACGTGGAGTAGGAGGAAAAGAAAGGGGAATTTACGAATAGGGTAGACCTAGCTAGGGGGAGACGAACGCAGCTTCGGGTGGTGCCACCTGAATTGAACCAATTAAGGGACTGTAAATGAGCAGGGTGCTTGTCAAGAAAAATTGAATGTGCCAGGGTGCACTTGGAAGCATCAAGGTAATGTTGCAGAGTGGTAGTGGATGCAGCAGCATACAAGTCTAGATTTGTGATATAACGATCAGTACGAAATATGATGCGCAGTATACGGCGATGGAGAACTTCTAATTTACCTATGTGGGTTTTGTTAATGGTGGACCAGGCAGGGAAGCCGTACGTGAAGAGGGGAAGAATGTATGATTTATAAAAATTAATCCGGTAATTTTGGGGCAAATGGGACAAGTGACTTGACATTATGCCGACAGATCGGCATACTTTGGACGACACATGATCAGCATGGTGAGACCAGGAGAGGGCGGAATCTATGACAATGCCAAGGTGTTTATGGTGGGGCGCTACAGAGATAGGGTGACGGGATCATCGGGAAAGTGGAAGATGGGCACTGGATCTGTGGGAGGGGGAAAAAGGAGGAGCTCGGTTTTGGTCACATTTGGCTTAAGGTACCAAGTGCTCATCCAGTGAACAATGTCGTTGATACAGGTCTGAACTTTGGGGTACAGGGTGGCGTGAGATGGGGAGGAAGCAAGGACAGTGGTATCATCTGCAAACAAAGAAATATTGGGAATTGAATAGGGGGGGTCATTAACGTATGTGAGGAAGAGCAGGGGACCTAAAATGGAGCCCTGGGGCACTCCGGATGTCACAGACTCGGGGTCAGATAAGGTTCCATTTACTGTGACGCATTGATTTCGGTCCAAGAGGTAGCTAGTTATCCAGGCGAGTAGGGAGCCGGAGACACCATGGGCACGAAGTTTGGCGATCAGGCCCTTGTGCCACACGGTGTCGAAGGCCTTGGAGAGGTCGAAGAAACAGATGCAGGAAACCTGCCGCTGGTCTTTTAGGGAGCAGAGGTCTTGGATTATGCGGGACAATTGCAGGGATGTGTTGTCCTTACGGCGGAAGCCAGATTGTGCGGGGTGAAGAACAGGGGAGATATGGTCGTACAAGCGGTCGTACACTATTCTCTCTAGCAGTTTGGAGACGCAGGACAGGAGGGAGATTGGTCGGTAATTAGACGGGTTGTTCTTGTCGCCTTTATTTTTGTACACTGGAATGACAGTGGCTGACTTCCATCGTGACGGGAATGTGCCGGAGGAGAGGGAAAGGTTAAAAAGAATGGAGAGTGGGCGGGCAATTGAGTAGCTCAGTTTCCTGAGGATCGCATTGGTGATCCTATCAGCTCCGGGGGATTTGTTCAGAGGCAGTCTTGCAATATACTTGTGAACAGTCGATGAGGTGATGATCAGGGAGTGCAATGTAGTTGCTGGTGGAGGTAGGGAGGAAATAGTGGGAATAGGAGCATCGGGGTCAACCTGTAAGCCAGCACTGACGAAGTGGCGGTTCAATAAGTTACCAATGGATGCCGGAGAGGTGCTTGTTCGACCATTGGGGCCCACCATCTTCGAAGGTATGACCCGGGCGCTGGTAGGATTTCGCAGTTGACGAATGAGCACAGGGAGGGATGGGAGGCGAGGGTTTGTGGGAGATATCGTAGCACGGAGGTTGCGGATGTAGCAGCGATGGCAGGATCTGGAAAGGCATTTTACATAGTTACGTTGGTGTTTGTATTTGTTGAAATTTGTAGGGGATGGGTATTTCCGGTAGATGCTGTAGAGATCGCTCTTGACTTTAATAGCTGCTTTCAGTGATGGAGTCATCCAGGGGCAGGGTTTGTGGCGTGATTTCCGACGAGGAGGTGAGGATCTTCCTATATTATAGGTCCAAGGCACCTTCAAGGATGTCAGTGAATGCGGAGACAGCCGTGTCGATGCAGTGGGAGGCAAGGACCTGAGACCAGGGTACATCTACGAGAAAAACATTCATGGCATTCCACATGTTATCCGTGGCACTCAGGACATTGTATTTTTGCGTGGATGGTGGGCTACGACAGGTGCTGGCTGCTGTGGGGGAAGACTTTGAGGAGGAGAACTCAGCCAGCAGGACGGCATGGTCTGATGCGCCAAGAGGAGCCAGGTGTTGAATGTGGTTGAGTTGGTTAGGGATGTTGCTCGCGATAAGGTCTAGACAGCTGCCAAGTCCATTCGAGCGGAGGTGGGTGGGAAAGGTTACCGATTGGGTCAAATTATAGCATGAGAAGAGGTTGTCAAGACTCAGACCCTGTGCATCCGTTTGGTCAGTTGAGCACCAGCCGGAATACCCAGGGCCTGCTGGAGAGCCGGGTCAGCCGGGTCACGCGCCCGGCTGGGGAACTGCACGACCTGGCTGAACAGATAACACCGGGTCCAGTCTGACCTGGCTGAAAAATGTCTCAAACATTAACAGTTACTGACAATGGATTCCTAAAATACCGGTATTTTACGACTCGCGGACCCTATCTGTTGCAAATCTAGCACAATCGTAGATCTACACACTACAGTCTACAAGCGACAGAAACTCGGCTAGGGTCAACTGGTTCTAGCGCGATCTGGCCAACGGCGAGCAGGAAGTCAGGACATTCAAAGTCGATGGGGGCAGGCAGTCAAAAGCGGCGCGAAGAGAAAAAGAACTCACGCTTTGTCGTTTACCTTCTACGTTTGCGGGCAGGGACTTTGATAGTTCGCCTTGTTCTCTAAAATTTCCGATTTCCGGTAATAAATTCGCCTTTCTGTTTTCCTGCGTTTTGAGCAGGCTTTTTGGTTGTTTTTCTGCCGGATGATCTGACCCAGCTTGACCCGGCTGGCCTGCATGCGCCAGGTACACTCTGACCGGGCTGTGTTGAATGTCTAGAGCAGGCCCTGATACCTACAGTTGAAGTCGCCTGATATCACAAGGGCTTCGGGCTTCCTTTGAGTTGATTGCAGGGCTATTTGGAGGCGGTCGAGAAAAGTCGAGAAGTCATCCGTCGACGGGGAAGGAGCACGGTAGATACAGGCTACTGTTAGGTGGGTTGTTGGCAGGTCAGAAGGTGAGACAAGCTTATGTTCAGCGAGTGTAAGCCGAAGTGCTAGCGCTTCCAAGCCCGGTTGCTAGCGCTTGGAACTAGATGTAGTAGATCTACATGACCGTGTATGTTATTAATATTATCATTATTATTGCATCATCATCTCGTGGCAAGCAATGCCAATATTGAATGAGAGAGGGGTGATAGCCAACCACGGCCAAATCAACAAAAGAAAAGTAGTAGACATACATGTATAAGAAAGAAGAAAGAAAGAGGATAACTCAAGAGATACGAATTACACAGTGGCCCAGAACAAGTGAATACCTAGCGAAGTAAAGTAGCAAAAGTGGAAAGTCTTTGGCAAGTCTTGAGGTCCTGTGACAGCAACGACCAATGTGCATATGCCAAAAAATAGAGGGACTTCAGAAGAGTGGCTGTGCGAGAGATAGGGAAGCAGAGAGAGTTTCGGGTAGCTGAGGACTGATGAAACCAGTTAAGCTAGGATAAAACATGAGGTGGGGCAAGACAAAGACGAATTTTATGAATTAGTTTACATGATGAAAGTCTGAGCCTGTTAGAGAGAGGGCAGCTGGATGCGATAGCATAGACAGTATGAGAGGGCGTCAAACGGGGAATAGCAAAGACAGCGCGAATTAAGCGACGATGTGTGACTTCGAGACGTATGTGATTGTACTGTAGTGCGGGCCAGACCCAGGTAACTGGTTGCCTAGACTAGGCTAGAGTAGTAGAGAGCTCAACACCAAAACTACAGGATGGACTGTCTTTGTTGTACAGTCTTACATGTATGTACAGACTGATTATCAGTTCACGGTCTGGGGATTGCTTTAGCTTTTCTGTGTGCATGAAACGCAGCGTTACAACCGCCAAGAAAGTATCCCAGAAGATCGGGGCGCTCTGGCGATCTAGGCGAGCATTAAGTCTGAAGGCCCGTACACAGTTCATGAAGTCCATCATCATGCCGTCTTTGTGGTCCACTTCACAACAATAACACACACAGAAGTCTCTGCTGTGAGCACGGTGGCTCGGCAATGGCGAGCACGGTGGCTCGGCAATGGCTTTATTATTGATATTATTATATCTCCTTCCTGATATTTTTTCTTTTTTGAATAATTGTACGCATAGGGCCTAGGGCCTGATATCATAAGAAAAATTAGCACAAGACACTGCTGCTACTATAGTCGCACAGCAAAACACACAGAAAACGACAAAATGTTACAATGAATGTAACAACACCCGTCCAAGCTAAAGGACCGACATCCCTGCCCCAGGACGGCATCTCGAACCCCCCACACACTCACCACACGGTCATCATCCAGCTTCAGTTCAATCACTGTATTCTTCCCCTGCAGACTCAACCCCCCTGTCACTAGCCATACAATCTGAAGCTGTATGTAACCATACAAAGGCCCACGACGCAC